TGACTTTTAACCTTGTAATTTTAAAATTTCAATAAAATATTATTATAAAAAAAAAAAGAATAACGAACTAGCTGTCATAAAAGATTCTCCTTAGGAAAGAAACAAGTGCAGACTCCAGTGTTTTTCACTTCACTGATCTTTAACAGCAGCATTCAAGGGTTTGCCTATCAGCCTGCATAGTTTGGCAGGGAATAGGTCTAAAAACCCCTAGTCCTGTTCTGCAGCCAGCAGACCAGTTCTTTAGCTGCACACACGGCTGTCACTTTCCTGGGTACCAGAAAAGGTATGGGTGAACAAATGCCTCTTGGCAGTGGGGCTAAATTAAACCTTACATGGATGGCCAATGATTTGACAGCTGCCCATTTTTCTTCAGAGAAAAACAGTGAACCTTGAGCATTATGGAGAAGCCGGCAGAGGTAAAGATTTAACTCTGTCTCCAATGCAATTGCTCAGCTTGTACATAACTATGTTCCTCTTTGTTTCTTTGGGGTCACACAAAATTATTTTGTTTCTTTCAGCCAAATTAAAACACCACCAACAAAAGAACAAAGCCTTTCTGTGACAAATTATATGCTAGAGATCTCTAGAGTAAAAATGTACAGCCACCGCCAAAATTTATTTCGAGGAAGAAAATAAATCTTGCTTGGATTTACAAAGAGAAAAATACATGCACAATGTTTGTGATTCCAAAGATTCACCTTTCTGCAATTCCCAGTTTTCATCGGCTCACCCCAACATTATGTCTAGCAATGTACAAATGCTGCAACAAGGGGTGGGGTAGAAGGGTGAGTGTCCAAAGTAATAATTTTATTCCTTAATACTCCAGCCTCAAACTTGTTTTAATAGCCAGTACAGCAAAAAGGAGACTTTCTATACACTGAGAATAGCATTGCTATTCAGTATGTATGGGCAATGAAATGATGGTGAGGAAGCAACTTTTTTGCTCCTTTATAAACAAAAAATCAGCAGAATTTTTTTGCAGAAAATCCAAAAGCATTTTCCATAAGAGAAAAATAAAGAACTTGCACAGCATTAATATGCACTTACCTTGCTTAACTGTGAAACACCATTCATGCACAATTGCTTTAAAAGAAGACAAATCCAGTCCTGGCAGATTTATAATATAATACTTTTGTCAGCAAGGAAGGTCAACAATCCTTACTATCTGTTTGCTAATATACTTAACCTATCTAAGGAGCCTACATTTAGAAAGATCCTGGTGGAGCTGTATCTTTTTTACAGTGTCATTGTGGACTTTAACCCAGTAGTCAACATCATCATCAGACCAAGGAAATGTCCTGTCCTTTCCACACTGTCCTCTTAAGTGCCCTTCAAGCTCCACTGCTTCTTCTGGGGTCCTGGTTTCACACAGCTACTTCACAGGTTCTTCAATCTTCATACATCTCGGCTATCCAGAATTTCTCTCTTTCTTAACTTTCTGTTCCCCTGCCATAGCTGTAACTGCTTTGGCTGGCTAACACAAGGGCTTTTTCAAACACTTCAAGATCCAGACTTCTTTTGCAGCCTAACGGTCTTCTGCTGCTACAAGCAGCCATTCATATTCTGGCAGCATTGACTGTGCCTCCCTTCTATATTCAAAACTCTCCTCTGTTTGGCCCAGCAAAGTGGAAGCTTGCTAAGTAACACCCTGTTACTATGGCAGCAACCCTTTGTGTTCAGAAGCACCCACAGAGATGCTTTTGAGAAAGGCTGCGTAAGATACATCCTGTAATCACACTTGCAAGATATCTGTTATAACTGGGATGGCAAGATGCTTGCTTGAAAAGCTTTTCAGAAATATGTAGTGATGTGATCAAACTTTTAATCACTTCACTCCCCTCTGCATCAGTAAATTGGATTTTTCTAGTTCATGCCTGCTGTTTGAGTTCAGGAAAACACAATTCTAATGTAGCTGTAGTTGGATCCAGTCTCCACTTTCTTACTCCTCACTGGGCAATTTGGAAAGTTACTTCATTTTCTATCAAGCCTACACAACTTGCAATTTACCAAGTTTAAATATAGCACTCTAGCCTTATTGTTTGGCTTGATTGACAACCTTCCTGTTTTCCAACTGCAGATACGGATAAGCTATAGTTTGAAAGGCTCCTAGCTAAGAAATACTGTCCTAGATTTATTAACAAAGTTGGTAGTTCTACCATATGTATTGTTGATCCATAACTTGGAGATTTTAAAAAAGCATTGCACCCAATAATACAACGGTGTCACAGGTTAAAATATTTAATAATGCCTTCTGAAAGCACTTAATATTTTAAAACATTAGTGTTAAAATGTTATCTATAATAAGATAAAACAATCAAAATTAAACATAATTTACTTGCAAATGGCAGTTTCTTACAATTATTTCTGCTTCACATGATGAGGGCTGCAGCCAACCAAAATAAATAGGAAGTAGATTAAAGTGACCATTCATGTCTGTAAATGTCACTCAATGAATGCCAATATAACACTAATTAAGAGCACTTTCAATAGCAACTAAATGATAATAAAACAATACAGCTATGTATGTACAACACTAATTATTGAACAACATTTACAGGTATAGCTACTGTACTGTCAAATTAGTAAACCAGAGGTCTCTTTTTAAATGGCCACATTCTGAAGTCTGCACTTATTTACAAAATAAGCAGATACAATTATGGAGCTCAGTTCAAAGCTACCATCAATAATCTTGTTTTAATGACAGCATCAAAAACCTGGCAAGTTTCACAGTGTTTAAATTAAGACTTACCCAAACAGATAACTAAACTTTGTCATCAGAATAACAACAACAAAACCTTGCAACGATCTTGGACCAGAGTTTGTGTAAAGCAACTATTATTTTATGCCCATGCAATCTAGAATTTACTATATATGTGGTAATCATTTGATTCTATGCCAGAGCAATGACCTTACTGTTAGCATCCAAAATGTTGTGACTGCATAGTTAACTCTAGGGTTTCTATCTGTTAAGATGGTTTTGGTAAAAACTATCATAATAGCCTGGAAAAAAATTAATTAAAGGCAAAAGCAGACTTAGTCTTAGATCAAAATTCACAGTGCAAAATAATACATTCTATCTATCACATATGTGGGTTGGAATTTTATTAAATCTGCCATCCAGCATTGCTGATGGTAGACATTAAAATGGGTTCTTGAAAATGCATACTGATACTTAGAGTAAGCAAGTGAGTATAAGTATTGTGTGGTGAAAGCAGAATAACTTAGGTATGATTTCAAGAAAGACTGACATGAACTTTCTTTTGCTCCTTTATGTTATAGCAGATGGCAGCACTTGTGTGACTTTAGCTGATCCCAAAAAGGGTCAGAGCTAATTAGTACTTGGATGGGAAAGCACCAGGAACATAGGCAGCCTACATAATTAAGGAAAGAAATATATCAGGAGGAGGTAATGACAGTCGACTTCTGTACAGCTGCTAATGTAGTAATTAGTGCCACTATTAAAGAACTGGTGTCACTTCCTCCAGCATCCACAAGGTACCAGCCGAAGATTTCAGAGTGTTTTTAAAGTCAGCCCCACATAGATTACCATACTCTAAACTGGACATGATTATTACATGTGCAAGAACTGATGTGCATGACAGATATGTTACTAATGAGACTCAATGGTAAATTAGCTTTCAGTGCCACATGAGATGAGTTCAAATCTTCCAGAAGGGATACAGTCATATCCAAGCTGGCTGCATCCATCCATTCAGATTAATTCAGTTCCAGCCCACAATCCCTCCATTTGCCTGGATTAAGTTTCATTTTGTTCATCCTCATACATCACCAAACAATCTCTAAAAAAGAGGAATTTTACATTCACCTTAAGTATTCTGTTTTATCCTACAACCAGTTAATGACTGGGGGTGGGGGGCAACGTTCAACAGCAAAAAAACCAGGTACCTGAAGCAATAACTCAAGATCAAGGTTCAAGAGATAAGCAATGACAGAAGCATGGTCAATAAGTAAGAACCAGAAAAGTGACTTGAGTTCCTTATTTAGAGGCCTTATTCTTGAACAGACATACTTTCAATATGGCTTCAGTTTCTGAACCCTCTACCAGGTATTCTTGCATGGCTTTTGATGCCCTCACTCAATAACGCTACAAAATACATTAACAGGAGAGCTCCACATCCTGAGGGACTTTCTAGAGTATCTTCTGCAAACCAGACTACTAGTGCCTGGGGAATAGGATATTGGAGTGTTTCTTGATGTTAGGTTTTGTAATGTCTCTCAAGATCTCCTAGCTTAGAGACTTTGACTCTTATTCAAAAGAGGAATCCGCCTGGAAGGATTTTACACTGGGATTTACAAAGAGAAAAAAAAAGTCAGACTGATTCATTGGTTACCTAAAACATCTAAAAATCTCAAGACAGTAATGTTAGATATTCCATAAGTTCAAAGCCAGGAAGCACAGCAGAGACCTAATTGTGCTTGCAACAATCATTCGGCAGTTACATTCTAACCAGTGCTATGTCCAGTGAGAACTAGTATGATATAGTGTTGTAGATACTGGAGTATGAGCTAGAAGACCCAGATTCAAGTCCACCTTCTGCCATGGAAGCTCTGTTGGAAGATTTTGAGCTAGTCACTCTCTTTGGAGAACAGAGTGCTTTATAGGCCACCCTTGAGCTTTGGGCTTAAGGGTGGGATATAAATCTAACAAATATGAACGACTTAATGCTTTCTACAGCTTGGTGTCCTTTTGATGTGTTGGATTTCAAGTCCTATAATCCTTCAAGGCCGATGAAGTTTTATCTATTTAAAAGATACATTCCCAAAGAACTACAATTACAGATTTGAAAGAACGGCTGAAGCTGTTTCTTGTTCCATAGAGCTAATGCCTACCATGTAAAAATATAAGAAACACCATACATGTGTGTGTGTCTTCTGTTGATAACAAAGTGACATAAGTGCAAATCAGTATGGCTGACAAAGCAAACTGAAATAACCTATAAAGTCCATGGCTTAGATTATTCCCCAAAAGATAAAGTTATGTTACTTTTTTGACCAACTATGACCAACTATTCGCCCAGGCCTTTGGAGAGGATGACTGATGCCCCTTTCTTTCTTTCTTTCTTTCTTTCTTTCTTTCTTTCTTTCTTTCTTTCTTTCTTTCTTTCTTTCTTTCTTTCTTTCTTTCTTTCTTTCTTTCTCTCTCTCTCTCTCTCTCTCTCTCTCTCTCTCTCTCTCTTTCTTTCTTTCTTTCTTTCATTTCCCTTCTGGGTTTATTTTCTTCGCCTTTGTTGTTCTTCTGTCTTGTGTGTTTGTGTGCATGTGTGTATGTGTGTTTCCTATTGTTCTTTGTTTTTTAAATGTTTTAACAATTGTAAGCCACCCAGAGTCATTGGGTGGCTTATAAATTATTATCATCATCATCATCATCATGATTATTCACAATGGCATGAAATCACAGCTGCCAGTTCTTTAGCTGGTGTTGGCCTTCATTCGTAAGGTATCGGTCGTAAGGTATTGGCATTGTATTTGTGCAGATCCAAGCAGTGTGGCCTTTTGTAATTGACAGATGGACATTTTGTCAATGCGCAGATTTTTTAAGTGTCATCCATTTTTTGGAATGGCAGCCAGTGTCCGGTAACTGCTGAGACCACCACTGCCAGTTTATGCCATAATCTTTCAACTTTGATTTTCAGATCCTGATAGTTGGTGATCTTCTCCAATTCTTGTCTTCTATTTTACTATCCCCTGGTATTGCCACATCAATTATCTGCATTTTCTTCTTTCTTCAGCCACAGTTTAAATATGGTGTGTTATGCACCAAGACTTTATCAGTTTGTATTTGGAAATTCCACAATATTTTAACCTGCTG